TGCTCGTTTCGTGCTACTACCCCTTCGTGCGCCCCTTCCACGTGGCTCTCCATCCCCTAGAGAGACGATTCATCTCTCTGGTTGTTCGTAGATAACTCTATCTTCCTTCTGTCTATCGTTCGTCCTTCTTCCTCCCTCCTCCTCCTCCTCCTCCTCCTCCTCGTTTCCTCTTTTTTTTTCTAACTCGTCGCCTCGAGCAATCGTGGCGTATCGAATTGTCAAAATGAATTTCCAGCACCTGTTTGGAGGGGGAGCGAGAGGGAGGGGACGAGGAAAGGGGAGGAATCCACCATTCGCCGAGAAACACGGCTGCGCTCTTAATCTCGTAGAAATGTAAATCGCCCTTAAGCGACGTCAACTTTTCACCATGGCCGCCTATCAACCGCCATCTCCCTCTCGATCGGACGGAGAAAGAACTTTGTTTCCGGCGGATATCGCGACCTGCCGTATGTTATCGTTACTCCGATGTTCCTCCAATGTTTATTGCGAGTCGAGTGCTGGAAAAACCTTTCTCCATTGCCGTCCATGTTTTGAGGGGATAACTATACGGGATTAGAGCCCGTTTCGGGCTGTTTTTATTGGAGGATTTTCAACGATTCTCTCGTTTATTTTATTCTTTTTCTATGGTAACTGGCTGTCCCCTATGATAAAATTTATTACTTATTATTGGTAGGATTGTATAGAATCGTATAATCGATCGATCTTTTATTTATACACAAAATCAAATTCCTTCAAATCAATAACGTTTATACAATATTAAGTTATGCTAAAAATGATTGGATTTATCCTGTACACAATGAGAATAGAGCTACAATATGTCAAAGCAATGAATCTATTTCCATCAATTAACTAACTAATAATTTCTACAATTAACTGTATAATATAATAACGACGAAAAGTGACAACAAAATATCCTTCTCCAAATAACTCTTACAATTCCCTTCTTGAATTAATCCTATCTCTTCCAAATAAAAAAAGAAAGAAAAAAAGAGAGAAATCTTTTCAACAACACGTGAAACACGTGTATATTCCTTATTCGTATCTCTTTCATAAATCGTGTCAATCGTTAACCATCCTCTCCCCTCGCCCTAACGCAACTTTAATCCCGCCTATAGTTCAAACTAACGGTCGCCTGCCACTGCATTCTGCTCACCAGCCATGATTACCTTTCATCGGGAGTCAACAGTTACACGGCCACTAATTCCGTTCGCTGGTGGAACTAGTTGTCGCTCATTACCGGCATCAAAGCCATCATCGTGATACGCACGTCCCCGACAGCCAGGGATCGCCGTGAGTTTCGCCTCGCCGTTCCACTGAACTTCGTCCACACCGCGTTTACCGCTATGCTCGCATCGTAAAAGAAAAGAAAAAAGGAAAAGAGAGAGAAAAAAAAGATGAAAGAAAATGGAAAAAGAGAGAGAGAAAGAGAGGTAGGGTGTTCTATCGATCGCGAACGATTATTATAGAGAGACGGACACTTTCCATATTCGAACGGCGTCATGGTAACGCGCGCCCCGTGCGAAATTACGATGTCCTATTGTTCATAGATACCATTATTACCATTACAAGGTATCATTATCGACAGACTGATCGGCATTCATATTCATGGCGGCCCGATAACGAAACTAGATCTAAACGAGGGAGCGAAAGAGGGATGGCCGATCATCACGATCCGCAACGAAAATCGCTCGTTTTAGCGATCCGCGTCAATCACGTCTCTGTCGGTTGATTAGGGGATGCGGTTTATCCTAGGGGGGAAGAGGGGATGATCGTGTTCGATGAGAAATGAGAAATAGTGGTCGAGAATGAAAAATTGGATCACGATTTCGAACGATTTCATCATCGAAGAAATCGAATGGATCCGTAGAGATTTTGTAATTGATTTCGAGAAGATTGAAATCATCGTTGTGGATGATTACGATTCGCGGGATAATGTTGGAAGTGAAAAATATTTTTGGGAAGAGTGAAACGGGCGAGATGACAGAATCGTTGAAAAATTTCAACAATTCGTACGCACCGTAACCTAAACTCGAACAGTTTCGACAGTTCAAACACGCGACGAATTTAAGCCATCCAAAAATTTCCATCCTCCGTCATTCTTCACTCGCGAATCCCGATTATTCGCACGCGTTCCAAAATCTCGATCACCTACCCTCGAATTCCTCGAATATTCCCCTTCAAATAAAGCGAGATACAGATTATTACGAACATGTTAGAATCAGTTTAATAATGGATTATTATCGAAATGATCGAATTCTTAATATAAGAGTTCTTGTGATACACTTACAATTTCACTGAAAAATAGCACAAATCGAAATTGTTAACAACGAATTATAATTCATCATAATATATACGATTCTCTTTAAAACAAACGTAATTTCAACAGAACCAATTACATTATACATTACATTAATACACAAATATGATCGTGATTGATAACCAATTACGTTTTCTACCTCAACGAAACGCATTATTATCCTCCATCTATCCAATAGATACACAATTATGAGATAAAAAGAAAAATAAAAAGAATAAACTTAAATATCCAAGTAGGGATAAATTTCCCCATTTCCCCTTGATATTTTACACACAGTTGTTTAAATCAACTGTTTCATATGCAACAACTTGGAAACGGGACCGAACCCATCCCTAATTACCCTAAACACACATTTGTCCCCGGGCAGATGTACAGCGGCGGAACAACACCTCTGATTGCTTAACGACGTCGACGAAAACATCCGGCGCCTCGGATCTGCATAAAGAGGAGGGACAGAAATGACGAGAGCGTGTGCGTGCGTGCGTGCGTGCGGCGGCGCGCAATAATGTCGTAGATTTCGCGTGCGGGGGTTTATTGCACCGTGGTACGGCCGTATAGCTCGCCAGGAGAGATGAGACTTAATATCGTCCGTTGTAATGCAGGGCCGCAATATCTCGTCCACGTCCCCCGTTGTTTCGTTTCCGCGGCGGCAATCCGCGCTGACATCGGCGGGAATCGCGTGCACGCCGCGAGATATTTGTGCCTCCCTCCTCCCTCCTCTCCCACGCCACGAATTCGTGACGATCGATCGATACGAGGGGGCACGGGGGGCAACATCCGCAACACATCCTTGTTAAAACGAAACGCGCGGTGAAATTGGAAGCTGTCGAGTGCGCGGCACGAGTTTCGTTTTCGAGTTGATGGAGAGACTATTTTTGCCCGTTTTCGGCTCTATGATTCGGTGTGCGGTTGGGTTTCGGCGGCGCGGGGAGGAGGAATTGA